ATCTTTTTTTTGTTTTCTATTTTTTTTAATTTCTGAAGGTATTTTTGTGGACTTGCAAGATACGCCATCAAAGACTTTTGGCAGAAAACGTTGCACCTGGTCAACCCAAGAATCAGACATTCCAACTTCCTGTAATGGTTTGCTTGTCATTTCTGATGTGCCTGGTGTTACTTGTTTATTGGATGGAGAAAATTCATTCAACAACTCATGAACATCATTACGAATATTATTATTATATTGCACTTCATCACTAGAATAATCTTGAACTGTACCTGAATCTTCTGCAGGTTCATTTAATGCTGGATTCTTATGTGATACATTGTTTTGTTGTAAGATCTGGTTTTCAGAATGTTTACTATCAATACATTTCCCATGTGATTTATGTGATTCTTCAGACTGAATCACAGGAGATTCAGCTAATTTGCAATCATTAATCATATCGTGTGGATCCAAACAAGTTTCACTGGAATGTTTTGCTGGAGATGTGGCTTTCATTTCACTAGCTAACAATGTTCCTTCAGCAGATTTGGTGGTCCCACTATTGTTTTCTAATGTTTTTAAAATAATTCGAGTCACTGTTTGGTCAGAAAATGAGCTACTGACTTGCTTCTTTTGGTTAGACTTCAAGGATGTGTTATTAGTACTTGATGGGGAAAGAGTGCTACTTGCTGTATCACCTTTTTTACTTTGTTCATCAGGTGACAAAACACAAGCTGTACCAATGCCCTGATTGTTCTCAACTTCTGTTTGTGAGTTAATTTGACTTAACTGGTCTTTTTTATCAAGTGAAGTATTATGTAATTTATCTTTTGGCTTGTTGGAATAAGACACTGTCTGACTATCAGAGTAAGTTCTATCAAAGTCTGACTTGTCTGTTTACGTTTGTTTGTAGAGCGAGTAACCCGTTTTGGACACCAATCAGAATCAGAATCAGATTCTGAAGTAGGAAACCAATCAGAATCAGAATCAGAATCAGAACATTTCTCTGCAAGGTATTCATCAACATCACCTTCTACTTCTTTGCCTATCAGTGATTCCTTTTCTGGAGGCTTCAACTGATGGATACTTGACCATCTTGTTCTCCTTTGGGGCCTTTTTATAATTTCTTCATTGCCTTTTTTTCTTTTCTTAGTCTTTGCTTTTGAAGCCTTATTTTGTTTGCCGACATCACGTTTTTTAACAAGCTTTTTCGTTCCATCGTTTTTCTTAGATTTTACAGAGTGTTTCTTTTTCTTATTTATAGTTGTCTTGTCACTAGATTTTTTAACGAATCTTTGACTTTGTAGCATCCAGTACTGATCATTAAAGTCATCTAAAGAAGGAGATTTATGTTCTGATATTATCTCAATATCAGAGTCTGAATCAGAGTCAATGCAAATTATTTCTGATTTTTTGTCTTGTTTGGCTGGTGGCAATGGTTTAATAGGTATAGGTCCTACAGCAGGTGGAACAGGTCCTGCTGCTGTTTTTGATAAAGGTTTTTTAGAGGTTTCATGTGAGGAATCCTGTCTATCTCCAGGTGTTGTGATTGAAATTATTTCTCCCACAATTTCAACATATGACTCTTCCTGTTCAGGTTGTTTTGATGCATTAGACATCAGAGTACTTGTAGACTGATAGGAGACCTCAGGTGTTGATGACTGTGCAGGATTCTTGCATGGTTCAGATAATTGAGTAGATTGTTGGGTGGTTTCACCTTGGGATGCATTAGATGCTAGAGTACATGTAGATTGATAAGAGATCTCAGGTTCTGGTGACTGTGCAGGATTCTTGCAGGATTCAGGTGATTGAGTAGATTGTTGGGTGGTTTCACCTTGGGATGCATTAGATGTCAGAGTACATGTAGATTGATAGGAGATCTCAGGTTCTGGTGACTGTGCAGGATTCTTGCATGGTTCAGATAATTGAGTAGATTGTTGGGTGGTTTCACCTTGGGATGCATTAGATGTTAGAGCACTTGTAGATTGATAGGAGACCTCAGGTTCTGGTGACTGTGCAGGATTCTTGCATGATTCAGATGATTGAGTAGATTGTTGGGTGGTTTCACCTTGGGATGCATTAGATGTCAGAGCACATGTAGATTGATAAGAGACCTCAGGTTCTGGTGACTGTGCAGGATTCTTGCATGATTCAGATGAATGAGTAGATTGTTGGGTTGTCTCACCTTGGGATGCATTAGATGTCAGAGTACATGTAGACTTATAAGAGATCTCAGGTTCTGGTGACTGTGCAGGATTCTTGCATGATTCAGATGATTGAGTAGATTGTTGGGTGGTTTCACCTTGGGATGCATTAGATGCTAGAGTACATGTAGATTGATAAGAGATCTCAGGTTCTGGTGACTGTGCAGGATTCTTGCATGATTCAGATGATTGAGTAGATTGTTGGGTGGTTTCACCTTCGGATGCATTAGATGTCAGAGTACATGTAGATTGATAAGAGACCTCAGGTTCTGGTGACTGTGCAGGATTCTTGCATGATTCAGATGATTGAGTAGATTGTTGGGTGGTCTCACCTTGGGATGCATTAGATGCTAGAGTACATGTAGATTGATAAGAGACCTCAGGTTCTGGTGACTGTGCAGGATTCTTGCATGATTCAGATGATTGAGTAGATTGTTGGGTGGTCTCACCTTGGGATGCATTAGATGTCACAGTACATGTAGACTTATAGGAGACCTCAGGTTCTGGTGACTGTGCAGGATTCTTGCATGACTCAGATGATTGAGTAGATTGCTGGGTGGTCTCACCTTGGGATGCATTAGATGTCAGAGTACATGTTGGCGGTTGGGGTGACTGTGCAGGTTTCACAAATAACTCAGATGACCGAGTGATTTTCTGCATGGTCTTAGCTTGCGATGCCATAGGTGTCACAGTATTCCTAGGTACAGACAGCTGTGAATAGAATGCTCCACGTACAGGTTGGTGAGATACTTTCAGTTTAGGTGTATGTACAGTTTGTTGTGATGTCTCAGGTGTCAGTCGGTGAATTGACACAGGTTCTTTTGGCGCAGCTACTGTACTTGACTTTTCTGATGAATCCAAATACTGTTTCCTGGATTCTGAATTATGTACATCAACTAGAATGTTATGGCAAACATTATTTTTTTCAGTTTGTACATACTTTGAACTCAACTTTTCAACCGTTGCATCACATCTTTGTTCTTTTAGGGACAGTTTTTCCTCCTTCTCTTGCTGCTGGTTCAGATCTTGTGTTTTTAACTTACATAGTTTGTCAACATTTGTTTTATCCAATACTTTTACTTTTTTATTTTTTTTTATTTTGCCGTTCTTAACTATCTTGTTTATTTTCTTCTTTGCCTTATCTTTTAATGCTGGTGTAATGCTTGATTCAGCTTCCCCAGAACTTGGAACAAATCTCCGGAACTGGTGTACCCAATACATGTCTGCATCACTCACTTGTTTGTCTGCTGATTCCATGATGAACAATTGTGTTGACCAATGGTATTATTATAAAGAATGATGAATAGCAAGCTTCTTGAACCAAACCAAGAAGTCAGGTCACTGTGTTTCAGGACTTATAGGAATTAATCTGAAAACAAACACAATAACACATTTGTATGAACAACTAAAACACTTCTCATAGTGTATACCTACTAAAAACTTGCTTCGTTTGTAGCCATATCATTATTATGTATGCAGCTTGTGAAGTGTTGGCAAGAAATATGTAGTGCAGAAATGTTACATTTTGAAAATATGAGACAATTACCCAGGCTTGCTGGAAAGAGGCTTGAAATAATTCTACAATTATGAGTAGGCATTTGAATTTCTTTAAATTTGAAAACAATGTGATTCACATTACTAGTATTGAAGTTTATAAAATATACAGAAAACAGGGGTACCATGGAGAGGGCACTCAAGAACGCAAACACAATAATCGAGTAAAATAAACGCACACTCGAGCATAGAAACACTATGGTCGAGAAAAAACATGATGACATGATGAGTTGTGGGTAATTTAAAATGGCTGCTTCCTAGTCAAAACAAGCAAGGATGTTGGGTGAGTAAATATTTTCTCTGCTTATGTTTTACAAATCAAAGTATGCAAGTAAATATCATTACCAAAGTACCCCCCACTATGTCAAGCTTCTATTCAGCAAATTTTGTAACACTCTGAATAGTAATATCAAAACTGTTGTGATTCTAGTTTCGGTGTTCAGAATCATACTATGCAATGCACGGCTTTTGTACTGTGTACAATGCGAGTTTCCATAGATTCTATTTTGGTGTAATAAGTTATATTTCTATATTTACTCGAAATTTTTAAAACCACAATCAAAATAGAAATATGCTGAATACAAACTTCACATAGTGGGGAGTACTTGCATACTTTGATTTGTAAAACATAAGCAGAGGAAATAGTTACTCACCCGACGTCCTTGCTTGACTTGACTTGAAAGCAGCCATTTTTAATTACCCACAATTCATCACGTTTTTTTTCTCAATCGTAGTGTTTTTATGCTCGAGTGTGCGTTTATTTTTCTTGACTATAGTGTTTTTTTTCTCGATGCTCCATTCATTTTACTCAATTATTGTGTTTGCGTTCTTGAGTGCCCTCTCTATGGTACCCCTAGAAAATATATTTGGTTTTACATTTGTGGTTTTCAGTTTAATTTATTCCAGAGCTCCTCTACCGCTTCGCTGAAAATATTAACTGTGAGTTGGAAATGAAAGGTGGAGTCATGTTGACAAAGTTTGGCAAAATTACCAGTTTGAAGAAATGGAGATCGTAGAGTATGGCCAGTCAGGACAAGATTTCTAAAACTCAAAATAGAATACAGATTAAAAGAGAGCTATGCATTATTTCAGATGTACTGTAAAATCTGTATTAGAAACCGCGGCTTCTATTAAAATGGTACAATGCAACAGAGGGGATGTGGTTTCCATTAGAGCATCTACACATATGAGAAATGATGAATTTTAGATTCTCAATTATTCAAAAAGAATGGGTGCGACTTCTATTAGGGATGCGGCTTTTAATACAAATTTCACGGTAATCAATCTATGATCTGATAGGCTGAGATCAGTAATGGCCCGGAAATATGTACTGAAAAATACCATGAAAAACATTGGCCCAGGTAGTTCAGTACTCAACAGGTTTTTGGATTGAAATTATTTCTCCCACAATTTCAACATATGACTCTTCCTGTTCAGGTTTTTGTGATGCATTAGACAGTATACAGACCGTAATGTATCAGTAATGGTCCAGGAAATATGTACTGAAAAATACCATGGAAAATATTGGCCCAGTTAGTTCAGTACTCAACACATTCCGTACTGAAAAATACCATGGAAAACATTGGCCCAGGTAGCTCAGTACCCGACACAATCCGTAACTGAAAAAAATACCATGGAAAACATTGGCCCAGGTCATTCAGTACCAACACAATGTGTACTGAAAA